ATATATATATATATATATATATATATATATATATATATATATATATATATATATATATATATATGTTGCTATAAAAGGTTAATTAACGAAACTCTGGCTCAATTATCTATATAATATATAAATATATATTACATATATCTTGAAACAAAGGGCAGACAACACATAATATATAAACCCGAAGACGAAGAGAGAAGAGGGAGAGGAGAAAGGAAAAGGCTGCAGGGTTGCTGCTTACAACGGCCTGGCCAGCTGAAGCGGAGCCCCATGATATCTTTCCCGAGTAAAGTCTGAGAGGAGAAAAAACAAATAAAATGCTTTTTATTTCAATATATATCGTGATGAGCATAGAGGTAGTCTGTGGCGTAGACAAAAGAAAATAATAAATAAACTAATGGCGAGCTGATTATAAGAAATGTGCAACAGCAACGAATAAGAGAGTAATACAGACGCATACAGCGCTGCAGCATCACTTCATCTCTGAGACCAGCAGCAGCTGCTGCTGCTGCTGCTGAGAGCAGCAACAAGATCCATCCACCTCTCTTACTTGTGTCCTGATGCCTCGTGAACGAGGGCGATGGCGCTGCCGAAGGTGATAGGCTGCTGCTGCTGCTGCTCCTGCTGCGCGGCTGCTGCTATCTGTGCTGCTGTGAAGGAGAGAAGAAGAAGAAGAAACAAGTTGGCGGCAGTAGCCATTGGCGGGCGCTTCATCATACCACGGCTGCAGTAGTAAGAGAAAAAGACAACGCGAACCAGAGAAACAGGAGGAGAAGAAGACAAACAGAGCACAGTTACAAAGAAAATAAATGAAAACAAACAAACAAACACAGACAAACAAAAAAAGAAAAGGATGAGAGAATATATCGGCGAGTTGAACAGAGCCCGGAGCTGCACGAGACAGAGTATGTATGAAGATCAGCAGAACCCAGGAAAAACGTTTGGGTTGCAGCGACGCATATGGTGTAATATTCAGGGAAAATGAAATTAAAAACAAATTAAAAATAAAAACAAAAAGCAGAGAGAAAGAAACGGAGTCTCTCTACAGACCAACGACGCGAGTTCCCGTTCAATTCAACTCGGGCTGAGCGCCGGTGATCTCCATGAAGAGGAGGAAAAACTGTTTTAAAAGTATTATATTTCGGGTTTATTTAACTCAGTGAAACCAAAAACAAAATAAAAAAAAAAGCTTCAACGCCCTGTTCCTCGTAGACGGTCTATGCGGCCCACGGCAGCCTTCGCATGCGTCTGTGGTAGTGCCTGCGCCACAAAGGGAATAAATAAGCGATTAAATTATTTAATAGAGTTAAAATAAAAACAAAATGCTCCAGTTTAATCGGTTATATCCGTTGGTGGGGTGTAATAACCTGAACAGAAACAGACGTGAATAGGGGGGTGAGAGGAGGCAGTTTCACGAGGCCGCCGACATCCTCTCATGTTGCATCATCATCTTTAGACAGAAAGAAACAAAGAAAGAAAGAAAATAATAAAATAATAAATATTTCCACTATCTTAATAACTTTGTTATCCCGTATTTATTTATTCGTTACGATTAGCTGCTGTGCAAGAAGAACAACAAAACCTGCACAGCTGTTGCTCGCCTTTTGATTCATTTCATCATCTCTGAATAAATATTCTTCTTTTTGTTGTTTTTTGCTTGAATTGTCGTTCTTATAGACAATATGAGTACATGGTACGTTGTGTATTGCTGTGTATATGGTGTACACTGTATTCCTTTCATGTTGTATACGCTACGCTCTATAGCCTT